CTTTTCTTTTAGGCTATAATATTGAGCAATGTAGCTAATGTGTTTTGAATTAGAATATAAATAACTCAAGATTAGGAACTAAAAACCTTTAAAAATGAATCAATAATATCACTTTCCTACCAGCCAAATATAGTGCTATTAGAGTTCTGAAAAATTAAAGACAAAGCCATTCTTGGTTGATTATTGTTTTTAAAAGTCTACATTTTTAATGTAGCTGAGTGCTAAACACTTAGGTCTGTGGAACAGTAAATACATTGTGATTGTACACTTTACTAGATTAAAAAGCTCTTTTCAGACAAGAATGTTCAGCTGTGGAATATGTTTAGATAAAGCATGTTGATAAAATAAATTTCAAAATGTCTTTGGCTTTTCATAGAATATATGTTCCATGCTGTCCTGCGATTTGTATCTTGTTTTCAGGAGTTCCAGCCTGTCTTGACTTGGGTTAAGATGATGACACACTGATGCCTAGCCTCACTTTCAGAAAGATGTAAATCTGTCAGAATACATTTAAATGTTGAGGTTAAACTTACATTTAAACACATTTTTCTAGGGCTTGAATATTTTTAAGTGCTTAAACACTGGTGAAAAAAGATTTTTAGAATGATTCTTAGAATGGCCTCATAACTATTTAGTTTTGCTTTTTGATTTAAAACCCCCAAATTAACAGTCTCTTAAAACTAGAATAAAGATGTATACCCATAACAAGTTAGTGTTAATTACACTTACAAAATACAGCAGTTCAGTCTTCTGATAAATCATTTCTATGACCAAAATCTAACATATTACATGCTAACCAATTTGCAGGGTAAATTCTTCTGTTTGCCGCTTTGTTTTCTGCCTCCATGCCTATTTTGCTATGCAAAAGCTTTATGTCAATTTACTTTTTGAGCCGTTTAAGACCAAACCAAATTATTCCTTCAGCACATTTTAAACAATCCCTTAAAGACCTCTTTTTCTTGGCTATGTTTCCAATCTTGGCTTATCACTATAATATTTCATGCTCCATGCTTCTGAAAAAATTCAATATTCAAGAACAAAGTAATCCAGAGCTTTACTTCATTTCAGTCTTTTTATGTCCTAGGGCTGTCCCAACTCAATGACCCAGTTTTTATTGTGTCACATCTCACTGTCTGTTGCTGACTGCGACCAGCTTGCCTAATCCTTTTCCCGTCCCTTATCAGTTTTCCCTTAATTCAAAAATCTTTTTTTTTTTTTTATTCTTTCCAGTTCTCCTTTCACAGCTTTTAGATTTTTTTTTTCTTTCTCTTTAGACTCAGTGTTCCTGTGGTAACTACTCAGAAATACAAAGACAAATGGGTAACTAAAGTCCACAAATCTGTCCTTGTCAAAATTTTCATTGTACTATTTTTAGAATTGCGCCGTGGTGAATAGTAGAAAGTGGATGTTATAATTTGGCAATATGCCCTTAAAAATGTCCATACTCTAGGACCCAGCAATTTCACTTCCAGGAATCTGGCTTATTAATTAAAAAGAATCATCTAAGAGATGGAAAAAGCTATATGCATGAGCTGTTCATTACAATGTTATGTATAAAAGAAAAAGGAAATAACACAAATATCTAATGATAGGAGAGAAGTTAAGTAAATTATGGCCCATCTACTTGATGAAATAACACACAATCATTTAAGATGATGATTGTGTCACTATGTAGAAACATGGGTAAATACTTTCAGTGTTTTCAGAAAAGCAGGGTGCACAACTGTAAGTGCTTATGATCACAATTGTGTTTTTAAAAAACTATTTGCAAAGTAAAAACATCAAAGAAACATGACATTTGTGAATAGTTGTTATTTTAAGGTGGTGGAATTATAGATGATTTTTCTTTACTCTCAAAATCTTGTGATCCTAGTCCTTTCGATCTTTTTTTTCTTTGAGATGGAGTCTCACTCTGTCACCCAGGCTGGAGTACAGTGGCGGGATCTCAGCTCGCTGCAAGCTCCGCCTCCTGAGTTCAGGCCATTCTCCTGCCTCAGCCTCCGGAGCAGCTGGGACTACAGACACCTGCCACCATACCCGGCTAATTTTTTGTATTTTTAGTAGAGACGGGGTTTCACCGTGTTAGCCAGGATGGCCTCAATCTCCTGACCTTGTGATTTGCCCGCCTTGGCCTCCCAAAGTGCTGGGATTACAGGCGTGAGCCACTGCACCCGACCGAGTTTTTAAAAACTATAATCTTAATTCAAGTAAATGAATCATTAGGTAGGTTATGTCAAATAAAACTTAGATTAGATAGAGCTCTATTTAAGTCTAATAATAATCTAATGGCTGGGTGTGGTGGCTCACACCTGTAATCCCAGCACCTTGGGAGGCTGAGGCAGAATGATTGCTTGAGGCTAGGAGTTCACGACCAGCCTAGGCAACATAGGGAGACCTCAGCTCTACAATTTTTTTTTTTTTAATTAGCGGGGCATGGTGGCCTGTGCCTGTAGTCCTAGCTACTTGGATGGCTGAGGTGAGATCACTTGTGCCTAGGAGTTGGAGGCTGCAATGAGCTATGATTGTGCCACTGCACTCCAGCCTGGGTGATAGAGCAAGACCCTGTCTCTAAAAGACAACAACAAAATAATAATCTAATAACTGGGTGTGGGGGAGATAAGAAAGGCAATATTTCATTTTGTTTACCCTTATAGGTCATCTCTGAAAAGACAAATTAGAAAAAAAAACCCTCCTAATATCTGTTTTAAAATACAAAATTATCTTTAAAACACTATAGTAGGTTCTATTCAAGTTTATTTTATTGCCAATGACTTTATCCAGGCCAGCTTGTTCTCATCTAACTTACTTAATCACATTCCTCCTGGTATCTCTGCCTCTGGTCCAACCCTTTCAATCCATTTTTCACATTGTCTTCAAAGAGATCTTTCTGAAACCTAATTCTGTTTGTGATACTCCACTGTTTAAACCGTTCAGGGATTCAGAATAGAGTTCTGAAAAATTAAAGACAGAATATATTCAAAGCTTTACCCAGGCTTCCTAGCACCTTCCAAGCTTTTCTGCCTTATTCTGTACCATTTCTTCTCATGCACACTTTCCACTAGCCTCAACAAACTAGTTGTAGTAGTTGAAACAGAACTCACAGTCACTATTTTTTGCTTCTTAACACTGAACTTAATATGCTCTCATTCTTTAAATCTCAAGTGTCACTTTCTTTGGGAAGCCTTTCCAGATTCGTCATTCATTTAGATGTCTCTTCTCTGTAATCCTATAGGGCCCCACCACCCTGTGCTATCACTGATTTGCTTATCTGCCTTTACTACCAGACAGTGGACTTCTTGTTTGCATAGACAAGTGGGATTGAGTGTGTATTCATTTAACCTGAATACCGCCTATCCCCCCTCAGACAATGTGGAGCATGGTGAATACTAAATGGTGTTGGTGTAGGGCTAATGTGCTAATCCTGGGATACTAAGTGCTAGGAACACAGAGGGAAGATGCACTGGAAGCCAAGGGCCTGTTACCGGTCAGGTACTTAGCAGGTGAAACTCATTCAATGCATTTCCCTGATAAAGTTATGCTTTTTTTACTTTGTCTTAAGGTTGTACAAATGTTTTACCTCCCACATCATATCCCTGAGAACTAGGAGCTTGTCTTGTCTATGAACCTTTGACTATTCCTTATATATACTAGTCATTCAAGTGTATGTTAAAGTAATACATTTTGATGTTTTAAAATAATTTTGATTTAGGTTAGGCTTGGTAGCTCACGCCTGTAATCCCAGCACTTTGGGAGGCCGAGGCAGATGGATCACTTGAGGTCAGGAATTCAAAACCAGCCTGGCCAACATGGTAAAACCCTGTCTCCACTAAAAATACAAAAAAATTAGCCAGGCATGGTGGCAGGTGCCTGTAATCCCAGCTACTCAGGAGGCTGAGGCAGGAGGATCACTTGAACCCAGGAGGCAGAGGTTGCAGTGAGCCAAGATCGTGCCACTGCACTCCAGCCTGGGTGACAGAGCAAAACTCCATCTCAAAAAAAAAAAGAAGAAGAAGAAATAAATAAAAATAAAATAATTTTGATTTATATAAAAAATATGTAAAGGACAAAATATTTGTGAAGTTCAACATTTTAAACAAAAATTTTCAGAAGTGTTGTAAAGAGAGAAGGATAAAATATAAATTAAGGATGGATAAACATATTCAGATAAAATTAAAGACCACCTAACCCCCAAATGTGCTGACATGTAAATATCTTCTCTACCTTGATTTTCACATACTTATATAGGGAACCAGGTATACTCCAATAGAAAATATTGGTTCAGCCTGACCCAAAAAGTCATGGTTTTACTGTTCAGATGGAAAACAAACAAATGACTTGGTCATGGTTTCAATTTACTATCTTTTTTTCCCCCACTGTTACTATATCTGCATTTTAAACAATATGTTTATTACAGCAAAATTACTTGGAAATTTTGATAAATCAATTTTCTCAAATTTTTTACAGTTAAAAAATTTTTTTATGATTATGACTGACATTTTGTTATTAATCTCTTAAAGTTTAAATGTACCAGAAGTTCTGCTATTTAAAATAAAACTCTGGAAACAATCTTGAAATAGAAATGTCTCCATCATCCCCTAATTTATCTGCTTTGTAGATTTAATTTTATTTTATATTTTCTTATAGAATCACCTACCTATACCTACCCAGATACCTACCTAGTCCTATCTGGGAAACAAATGCAAATGAATATGTTTTAGAAAACTATTCAAACAGAATTCTATTTTAAATTCCAAATTATTAAGAGTATAACTAGTGACTACTTTGGCATGAGAAAGATTAACTAGCCACTGCATGGAGGGAGAAATATTTGGCTGAACTTTATATATAATCATAAAGAGCAGAAATAATAAAATTAGCATAGTTTGGTCAGGAAGAATCAAGAATGAGTGGGAAGTAAAGACATTTTTTGAAATTCAGCAAAACAAGAATGAATAAGGCAAAACCTGGGAATCCAAAGTATGAATTGTAGAAAAAGAAACTTGAAAAGAGCAATGTTTAATGCAGCTACAACTGTCTCTCAGTGAAATACATTATGAAGGCCCATTTCCCTATAGAAAAAAAGAAAACCTGTAATGAACGTATCATATCCTTTAAGACAGTCCAACAGTCACTAATATAATGTTCGGATAATCCAAGCAACTTTGTTCTTAACCAAATCTCCTAAAATAGATTTCTCCTATTAGCAAGGGAGCATGCTTATTCAGGATCATGAGTATAGTCCCTTTGGCCATCTTAGCTCTCATATGTATTAAGAGGCGCTCTGGTTTCCAAATCAAGCCTCATGTGAATTTAATGGGTATGAAGCAGTTCTTTGGTGACCGATAACCTAGTAGATGAGATCACAAGTGCTAATTTAAAACGCCTACTACAGTGCCCACTACATAGAAAGCTCTCTAGGATTTGTTTTCCTTCCTTCCCTTGCAACTCTGTAATAAAAAACACAAATCTATAGCCCCAAAAAATTGCATAAGACAAGGATGATCTGTTGTTGATACCTTAAATATTTAATAATTTATTGTAAAAGCATTTTATATACCACCATTACAAATACTGAATATGGTTTTATGAAAGTTATAATTTTATAACAAAAATATTTCCTAAATACCAAGGCAATCCACCTGTTTTCTTCTTAATCTCAGTATAACAGCTAATATTAGGGTTAGAATTTAACCCTAGCAGACATGAAAATTTGGTCTCTTGGTTTATTTTTTATTTATTTATTTTTTTGAGACAGAGTCTCGCTCTGCTGCCCAGGCTAGAGTGCAGTGGCTTGATCTTGGCTCACTGCAAGCTCTGCCTCCCAGGTTCACGCCATTCTCCTGCCTTGGCCTCCCAAGTAGCTGGGACTACAGGTGCCCGCCACCACACCTGGCTAATTTTTTTTTTTGTATTTTTAGTAGAGACGGGGTTTCACCGTGTTAGCCAGGATGGTCTCGATCTCCTGACCTCGTGATCCACCCCCCTTGGCCTCCCAAAGTGCTGGGATTACAGGTGTGAGTCACCGCGCCTGGCGGGTCTCTTGGTTTATAAATATAGTCAGATACATAGGAACATTGACTGGCATTTCCATGTCAAGAAACATGGTCATATGTACAGCCAAGACACGGACAACCAACAAGTTTTAAAGAAATGGACACATCTCTAGTTACAGATTCTAACCAGAATTACTACAGGAGAGCTGGCAAATGACAACCACCAATACATACATTTCTACACTCCTGAAAAAGACAACATCAAAAAACATTAAGAAATTTGGCATCAGGTAGACAACATCTAGGTTTTGGGGCTAATATACTGATTCATACATTGTACAAAGTTTCATCATTGCCCCCAACCTTGGAATTTCAGAGTGAGTGTATACAAAACAATTGCTTTGTCCCTTTTCTCATATTAGAGCTCTGATACTTTCCTAACTCTTACAGTCTTCTAGAATGATCTGTCAGATTTTCACTCAACACTGGGTCAGATCTCTTCTATACATGACCTCATCCTTCTCATGTCTCCTCTGTTTGCAGAGAGCCGGTCAAAGTCTTGGAGGTGGAAACGAACTGCCAACTGATTAACCATTTTCCTTAAGGTAAGAAATGCTGCAACAACTTGGAAAGCAAGGAAGAGAGTGAAGATGATATGTATCGCTTTTTCCAAGGGCAGATTTGTTAGGCCTTCATTAAAGAGCAAGAAAAGAATTAAAGGTAACTGCAATAGAAGGCTCAAAAGCCAAAAGCCAGCCAACTCAGGAACCTGCAATGACACATATCAAAAGTAATAAAAATCAGTAAAATATAGTTTTTGTTTATACAGATAAGTACTTATCACTACTGTGAACCTACATTATGGGCTCTGTGAGTGATTCCGAAGGAGGATGACATGGTCCTTGTCCTCAGAGAACTTACAGTCTAGATGAGAAAACTAATTTATGTAAAGCAATCCTAGAATACTACACTTTAGTGAACAACTAAGGGCAATATTTAGAAGTACAGACTAAATGCTACAAGAAATAAGAGAGTGATTAGGGTAGGTGAAAGAAAGACCTCAGGGATGTAGGCTTTTAAAGTTGTGGAGGAGGAAGAGGCAAAAAGGTAAGTAAGCAAACACGTGAAACTAGCATGATTGGGAATCAGCACATCAGCCTGGAATGAATGGCTGAGTGAGAAAACAGCAAAACCTACAGTAAGACAGGCTGGGTGGGGCCTTATTATGAAGGGCCTAGAAAACCACAGGAATCTTTAGGCATTATCCCTACACTCTGGTAACCATAAATGCTTAGGTAGCATGATGATGCAGAAAACATGGGCCTGGCGTAGGAAACGAATTCATAATTTTCCCCCATTTTCTTATTCAGGATCCAAATACACATGTTTAAGTAACCATGTATTTTCAAGACTGATGAGAAGAGGGAAAATATCAATTTTAAGTGTTTACCACATTCATATGCTTTACATAAATCATTTCACTAAATCACAACAAACCTGTGAAGTAAATATTATTTTCCTCATTTTATATATGAGGAAACCAGGGCTCAAGAGATTAAGCAAACAGACCACAGTGACAGAAGTGGTAAAGCTGGAGTCAGGCTTTAAATTCAGGCCTGTGCTCTTTCTGCCACACCTCACTGCCTTTTACTTGTTATGAAAACTGATTTCATTTATATCTATCACTGAGAGAAAGGAAAAAAGAGCTTACCTTTTCCTGTAGGTTACCCATGTAGCCCAGATACAACCGGATGGCTTCAATTAAGGTTATTAGGATGATAACAGTGATCACAATGAATTTGTAGTAATCAGGCAAGATTGAATACTAAAAGAAAGGCCAAAACATGTTTGTAAAATTGCACGTATAGTAACACTGATTTGAGATAGAAAAAAATTATTAAGAACTTTAATTTTATTGACACTCTAACAACGTCAGGGCAGCAAAAGTATTAAAGCTTAGATTTACCTTCATGTGAAGCATCATAATGCTGCTCACCCACCACAGTGGGAAATAGTAGGTATTAAAATAAAGTGACATCTGCAATGCCAAACTGGAGACCATTTCATTTTCTACAGAAGGAATAGAAAAGGAACAAATTATGAAACTTGGTCTATGCCCTATAAATATATATATCCTATCCCGTAGAATTAATAACTATAATATTGGCTCAGTAAAACACCAAATTTTAAGCCTATTTATAATCATTGACAGTAAAAGGAATATTCATCCTAATACCAGTTAGGTCAAATATTGGCTATTTGGGGGTATGTTTCATATTTTTCAATTATTTTACCATTTTGCCATTACAGTCTTCTGACTTTTTTGCATATACTAGTACAGATTTAATGTAGAATATCAATATAAATCCTATTCAACAGATAATTATCATTGCCTGCTTTGTAGAATTCTATGTAAACAGCATATAAAATTAATGCATAAAATAAATAAAAATGAATCTCTCACATATAAACTAATCTCATACAAAAACGGATTACCAAGATTATATAGACACATCTCTCTTTTCAGCATACCCTAATCTTAGCCATTCTTTAAAGTCCAATTCAGCGTCGTCTTTTCCATCAATACTTCCTTCATCAGTTCCCCCACCCCAGCAGAAATACCTTTCCCTTCAGGTACTTATCACTCTAAACTGTCAATAAGAAGTGCTAGCAAAGAACCACATTCCCCTCCCCGAAAAACAGTCTGGTGTACTGAACAGATCACGGGCTTCAGAGTTCAAGCAAACCCAAGCTCCCCAAACCTCTGTGACCCTGGATGTCAGACTTTATATAAATTATTTAAGTTCTTTGAGCTTCTATTTCTTCATCTGTAAAATAGTGAAATTAAAACTTCCTTACAGGCTGCTTGTGAGAATTAGAGCCAATATGAATTATTTCTTCCTAGCACTGTGCTGGGCACACTTAGTAGGCACTCAACAAATATTAGTCCCCTTTCCTTCTTCTCTTCTATTTATCTACTTATCTGCAAGCACACACCATGTCCCACCCTAATTTGAGACCCTCATAGAATCTAGCATCTTGCTTTATATGCAGTGAATATCAAATACACATAAGAATGAATTAATGTAAGCATACTGTCATAAGGACATTACTAGTATAGCCATTTGTGATACATGAGTTCCATTTACCTAAGGTTGATTCCATAACACTTTTTGCTTTTATGTAAGACAGAAGGGTCCTAAATTAAGAATTTGATTTTTAAAATTGAACCCTACAAAATACATCCTAAATTTGACTAAATTCTTAAGAGCGGACATATATATTGAAATCAGTTGTTCTACACGTAAGATTTTAAAGGTCCTAAAATAAATGTCTTAAGAACATTATTTTCTCCTTTTCTCCATAGTTGAGTGTTTTTATCTGTCATTTAATAATTTTAAAATATAAGAAACAGTCATGGTCTCTCGCAGCAAAATAGTTTCTTTTAGCTCCAAAAATATGCCTGATTATTATGATCTACTTTTGCTTGCAACTGCTTATTAAATTACCACTGATAAATGAATGAATTCTTAAAATCTGTTAAATCTGAAGACAACTCACCAGCCTAGGATCTTTCTGATAGCAACAGCACAATGCTGTGGACATGGTAATTACATAAATTTGTTATTACAGTACAAATAATCAAACCTACTTCTGATCCACAAAGAACAAAATACGGGAAAGAATAATAAATTGGGCAAGCAGAACATTTCAGTACCTTTGAGAAGAAACTGTAGTCAAATTTTGCAAAGAACGGTTTTTATGTTAGAAGTATTGTGTGTTAACATCTTAAAGGTTATGCTATGTCCATATTTCAGCAGATCAAACTTATAATCATGGAAATGAAAATCAAATTAATATGTAAATGAACCTTAAAAGCATAAGATATACATTTACTGAATTTTGCAAAAGTTCAAGTTGAGTTCTATAAATGGAATTTAAATTAAAACATACAATATAAATCAGGGATAGGTAAACAACTGGTCAGCTGCCTAAACGTTTTTGTACAGTCAATGAGCTAAAAATGTTTTTTCACCTTTAAATGGTTAAAAAAGTAATATTTTTTTCATACGTGAAATCCATACGAAATACAAATTTCAATATTCTTAAAGTTTTATTGGAACACAGCCATGCCTATTCAATAACGATTGTCAGTGGCTGCCGTGGAGACCATATGGCCTACAAAGCCTAAAGTACTTACTATCTGGCCCTTTTCAGAAAACGTCTTTTTACCTTGTATTATCAGACGTTAGTGCTCATTAAGCCTCATCCTTGGAACCAGAAACGTGAAACCTAATTTTTTCACATTTTTCTCTGTACATCCTAAATCATAAAGGCCTACAATTGGGGAATAGGCAAGTGATCAAGACGACAAAATGCAGCTTTGGGGACTGCCTTTACTTTTCTGTCCCTTTTAAAAATTCTGTAAAACCAAGCAGTGGAAAAGATTTATATTTCCCAGCAGACTTGAATGATGGAAACCACACGGGTTTGGTTGACAGTGTGTTGTCTACCATCATGATGTAGGAGGAGGAACCTGTTCTGGAGGAAACTGCGTTATCACTTGTCATCAAGTTGAAGGATGCAGAGGCATCATGGTATTTTCTTACCTTATGGTAAGAGTTACATATAGGGGAGGAGGAGGAGAAGGCAGGGAAGGGGTGAGTTTTGTTGAACGTCCGGCTAGTACGGCACATGCCAGTTGGGAGTGGATGGTGGTTTGAAAGGACTCTTTAAAAAAAAATTTTTTTCCCCCTAATCTTTTCTGCCAGAAAATGGCCTTGCTTAGGAACATACTTGTTCTGCTAGGAAAAGGGAAAAGGCAAATTTGCTCCCTGGGCGGCGGGTGGGGACAGGGGAGGTGGGGATTGCTTGGGCTGTTCCTCGCCATCCTGGACAGAAAAGCCGGGGCGGGCGCCGCAGAGGAAAAGCAAGTTGGGCCTTCGCTCTCGCGGTGCGCGGGGGACTAGCCTGTGCAGCAAGGGCGGCTTTTATCTTTTTATTTTTGGGGTTTCCCAGGAGCAATGATGGGCCTTGCGTGGCACAGAGGTCGGCCCCACCTCAGCTGCCGGGCTTGCACGGAGCAGGCCAGGCGTTAGCGCGTGCAGACCAGGCCCAGCCCGCGGCCGGAGGCCGCCAGCGCCTCAGCTCCCCGCCCCGGCCGGCCCCTCCTCCAAGGCTCTGGCCCGCACTGCGGGAAACTGACTGAAGGCGACATCGCCATTTTAGGTACGGGCAAATTCTGGACGCTCCAAAACCCACGCCAAGCCCTCAGCAGGCCACACCCCCTGCGCCGGCCTCGGTCACTCACCGGGACCCTCACTGTACTCCGGACCGGTCCGATTGGAATCAGTGAACACAGCCCGGCTGAAGTTTCCCAGCCGCTGGCGCACCGGATCCGGCAGCTCCATGCCTGGGCCTCGGTATCCCTCGCCCCCTCAGATACAGGCTAGTCTGCGGGCGTTCCGAGGCTCCGTGGTTCTCATGGCAACCGGCCGGCGCGAGGCCGGCGAGATCCGGGAGCGCGCGGGGGTGCCCGGCTGGGCCGGGTCTCGTCGGGAGCCCGCGCAACCTTGAAGGGACCGGCGTACTCAGAGCGCGTTCCAGGCCCCGGGAGCTGCGCGCCTCGGCCGTGTCCAAAACGGCAGATCTCTTAGTTCTGCTTTGAGCCCGACCATCCTAAAAACAAACCTATACTAAGAAATGAGCTGGGGTTGGACTGCGATACAAGGAGCCCTCATATCTTGCCAGTGAAACTGTAAATCGGTACAACCTTTCTGGAGGGAAATAGAGAATGAATGCAGAGCTTAAAGAATGTCTAGAGGTGTAGGGGTATGTGTGAGAGAGAGATACTATGACTGATTATTTTTTAATAAGAAAATAGAGCAATGGGCAACTGATTAAATGTACTGGAGCATATGCATTCAATGGAGTATGTTTCAGCTGCTTATAAAATGCTTGCAAAGAATATTGAATGATATAGTTTATGTAAAAATAAAGCAGAAATAAAACTAAATGAGAATAAACCTAATTTAGCAAAATTTATGTGTATGAGTGGAGGGGAGGAGAGAGCATGTGCACACCGACTTCAAAAAAAACTGGAAAAAAATATTAACAGTTATCACTGGATAGTGGGATTGTAGGTGATTCAAAAATTTTTAAACACTTCTGTATTTTCTAGCTTTCTCTCTAAGATATATTACTAATAATATATACAAAAGAACCATGTAAAAAAAAAAAAAAAAAAAAAAAAAATATACATAACAACTGATCTGCACTAGTCCTTCAAGAAACGTTACAATATTCCCAGAAACTCCCCCTTCCTATTTCCTTTAAGTCACTAAACCCCCTCCTCACTCATAACTGACCTTTCCTGAATTCTAACAGCAAAGGAGAGTTTTGCCTTTTTTTTTTTTTTTAAATCGGAACATTTATTGTGTGACTAATCCAAATATATATATATTTTTTATTCGAGACAGAGTCTTGCTCTATCGCCCAGGCTGGAGTGCAATGGCACAATCTCGGCTCACTGCAACCTCCGCCTCCCGGGTTCAAGCGATTCTTCTGCCTCAGCCTACCGAGTAGCTGGGATTACAGGCGCCCGCCACCACACTCGGTTAATTATTGTGTTTTTAGTAGAGACAGGGTTTCGCCACGTTTGCCAGGCTGGTCTTGAACTCCTGCTGCAACAGCTGTCCTCTTGGGTTTAGGTGGTGTTCCTTCAGAAAAGCCATGCCTTAACCTGCTGTACACAATTTTTAGGTGCCTCATTCGACCAGTCTCGTTGGTATTTTGTTTTTTAGCCTCGGCACTCCAATTATACTTTGTCTTGGCTTGGGAGCCGAGCCGCATTTGCCACAGGCAAACTTTTCAAGGAGGTAGATCTTAGAGTCACAAGGCAGCACTAGCTGTGCATCTTATTGCACCACTTTCTAGATGTGACACTCCCTTTGTCATCTTGCTTCTCAGTTTTGCATATTTATATAAAAGCCATGGTACTGTAAATACTTTTTAAAAATAAAAAACTGGCTTTGTCTTCAACATTACTTTCATGAAATTCCTTCATGTCATTGAGTGTAGATTATTTTGCCTTGCTCTGTGTGATCATACCACAATAAGCTTACTCATTCTACTGTTGATGAGTGTCTGTATTTTCTAGTTTGCAGCTGTTATGAATAGTGCTGCTTCGGTGAAAAGATGCCTCTTGGTGAACATATGCATGCATTTTTGTTGAGTGTGTATCGAGAGTGGAATTGCCATGTCATAGGATATGAAAGACCCAGCTTTAGTAGAGGCTGCCAACAGTTTTCCAAAGTGATCGAACCAATTCCTGCTGCCTCCAGCAATGTATGAATATTTCCATTACTCCATATACTTCACCAACACTTGTTATTTGTTATCCTTTCCTTTTAGCCCTTCTGATGGGTGTGTGGTAAAAGTATTATTTTTACAATCAAAAGGAAAATCACACATTTATATAAATGCAAGAAGAAGATATGGGTGGAAATAAATTCATGACTAGAATTTTAAAATCATTACACAAACGTTTATTGCATTCCTACTGTGTTTTTGGGTATTGTGCTAGGCTAATGAGGGATATGGTCCCTCTTCATGAAGAAGCACAGCTCAGTGAAAGAGTGAGAGATATGGAAAGAAGTAAGTGCAAACACTGTTATTATGAGTGCTCTATTAAAGGACCACTGATGAAGAACCAATTAATTCGGGTTGAAGATGTCAGGGAAAAGCTGGTTAACTTCTGCTTCATTTCAAGATGGAGCTCAGACCTGAGAATCTCCAAAAAGGCTTCTAGGACCTTCCTGAAGTAGCTTAGGTGCTCTCTTCCGTGTTTCCCAAAGTATCTTCCTGTTGTTTCTTTGGTCACAGTGCTGGTCACTCTATACTAAAATTGTCTGTTTATGTGTCTGTGTCTCTTGCTAGTCCTTAAGCTCTTAGAGGTCAAGAATGGACTTTCATCTTTATATCCCCAACACTAGCGCAGTGTGGTACCTGGCCAAGAGTAGGAGCTGGATGACCGTTGAGTGAGTAAAATGAAGAAAAAGCCTAATAACCACTCTCTTGTCTTCCCTTTCTAGTTCAAGGACTTAGCCAGCCCTGTATAAGGTTCACTTTGTAGAATGGTGAATTGGTGTATTAAAACATAGTGAATTTATAACAATTTAAAAAACCTTAGCAACAGATAATCACTTCTCATCTATCAAATGAACCGAGGTTTTTTTAATAAAGGGAACAGTGAGGCAGGAGGCCTCAGGCTCAGCTGATTGAATTATAATTTGGCCAACTGCATTGAGACAAGCAATTGGCAATATATAGAAATAGCCTTTAGGCTGGGCGTGATGGCTCACGCCTATAATCCCAGCACTTTGGGAGGCTGAGGCAGGCAGATCACCAGGTCAGGAGATCGAGACCATCCTGGCTAACATGGTGAAACCTCGTCTCTACTAAAAATACAAAAAACTAGCCGGGCGAGGTGGCGGGCGCCCGTAGTCCCAGCTACTTGGGAGGCTGAGGCAGGAGAATGGCGTAAACCCGGGAGGCGGAGCTTGCAGTGAGCTGAGATCCGGCCACTGCACTCCAGCCCGGGCGACAGAGCGAGACTCCCTCTCAAAAAAACAAAAACAAAAACAAAAACAAAAAATTAGCTGGGTGTGGTGGTGGGCGCCTGTAGTCCCAGCTACTTGGGAGGCTGAGGCAGGAGAATGGCAGGAGGAGGAGCTTGCAGTGAGCCGAGATCGTACCACTGCACTCCAGCCTGGGCCACAGAGTGAGAATCAGTCTCAAAAAAAAAAAAAAAAAAAAAAAAAAGCCTTTAAAACATTCCTGCCTCCTTTAATAAAATAATTTAAATCTTAATACTCTGGGGAAAATAATCATAGAAACAAAGTTTTATACACCAAATGCTTCTCCAACATTATTGATAATTGTTTAGAAAAGAGAGAGGTGAGTGGGCATTTGAAGTGCCCAACCACAGCGCCTGGTTAAGCAGATTATGATATTTATGGTGAGGTGTTGGGCTGCAGTAGAGAGAATGTCCTTGGAAGCTGAGAGGACAGGGTTCAAATACCCTAAAATTCCCAATGTACCATTTAAGAGCTATGTGACTGATTTCAGATACTTGTTTTGTAAAGTAAGAATAATAATATCTTACTGTTGTGGTTGATGTGAATATTATATCATTAAGGCTCTCTATACATGATAGTTACCATTTACACATCAATTAAAGTGAAGGTTATGAAGAAGCAACACCTAGAGTGGAGTCAAATAATGCTGGTATTTAATTTTGTGAATTCTACTGGACCTGCTAGGTAATACCTCTATTGCTTTCCTAATAAAGACAGTAGAGGCAATTAAGCATTAAAGCAGTCCATTATGTTAACCAAAAACCTATGTGAATTCTTATCAAAACCCTAAGTGAATTATTTTAAATATATTTTCCCCCAGCATTGAGAAAAGATGTAAGATACCTTCTTCAGATTGTAATTATTTTTATCAAAATCCTGGAGGAAAAAAAATTGATAGAATTATGGGTATTTTTCCTTCTAATTTTATTATTCAAATTTCCTATATGAGCATACATTTTCTAGTTTGAAAAAAATCTTGTTAAAAATAAATTGAGAGGAAGAGGCAATGATGATGCAAAAACATTAGAGAAGATAATTTGAGAGGAAAAAAGTGTGGTTTGGAATGAGTCCTACCATTATTGATGTATCATAAATGGTCCAAGGGGCTCAAAAAAACTTTCCAAATGTTACCTTTATTAGTTGATGCTCCCAATATTTATAGGCAATTACATTAGAAATACTAAGGGAGATCCTTCAGTGTTTCACTAATGTGATTGGCTATACAGGAAGGGATCGACATTCATGAACAATGAAGACTAGTATGATTTGGGTTTCCCATCTTCTAGATGTACTACTTATTAGGATCTAAAGAAAGAAGTATGGGCTGGGCACAGTGGCTCACACCTGCAATCCCAACACTTTGGGAGGCCAAGGTGGGCTGATCACAAGGTCAGGAGTTCAAGACCAATCTGGCCAATATGGTGAAACCCCGTGTATACTAAAAATACAAAAATTAACCGGGTGTGGTGATGGGCCCCTGTAGTCCCAGCTACTCGAGAGGCTGAGGCAGGAGAATCGCTTGAACCCGGGAGGCAGAGGTTGCAGTGAGCTGAGATTGTGCCACTGTACTTCAGCCTGGGCGACAGAGTGAGGCTTCATCTCAAGAAAAAAAAAAAAAAAAAAAAAAAAGTATGGAATCTCTGTACTTAAAGTCACAGGAATCATTTTAGGTTAATACATAGTCCCATAAAGTTTAAACTGCTTAGTTCTTATACCAGTGTTGATGTTCAGAGTAATAGCTGTTTCTACAATAGTTGTTTAATGTATTTCTTGGGGTTTAATTACATTTATCATTTGCTTATTTGTTTTCACAAACATTTTGAGACTGATGCAATGATTAGCTTCCCTTTGATAAGGGACCATGTTGTCTGGTAATAATGTATTATCTTACATGACAAGAAACTGATTTGGGGGAGTTATTTATTTATTTATTGAGGTAGGGTCTCACTCTGTTACCCAGGCTGGAGTGCAGTGGTGCAAGTATAGCTCACTGTAGCCTCAAACTCCTGAGCTCAAGTGATCCACCCACTTCAGTCTCTCTAATAGCTGGGACTACCGGGGTATGCCACCACGTCCAGCTAATTTTTTTTTTTAATTTTGTAGTGACAAGGTCTCCCTATGTTGCCTAGGCTGATCCTCCCACCTCAGCCACTCAAAGTGCCAGGATTATAGGCATGAGCCACC